CTGGGAAAAAGAAACCAGGAGTTGTCCCATGAGTGCTTTCTTTGGGGGAGGCTAACTCAATTGCTTTGATGTAAAGGTTCTGTCTCATTCTTTTAAATATTCCTTTGACGTTGTATTGCTCCACTTGTAATAGGCTGTTATTGCCCAAGATTGAATTTGCAGAGTGAAGGTAAATCTTTTGTGATGTGATTGTGCTGCCCTAAACTCAATATTGTTCAGGGGTCCTTTATAACTCTCTGGTTTCACTGCAGCAAACAGGACAAATTTTCATTTTTACCCTTTTATTTCTTTTTATTTTTTTCATTCCTTGTTCTGAAACTGAGACGGAGGGTGTTTGCATGCACATTCCATGAGCTCAGAGCTCTTGTGGCATAGGTAGAGGCTTTGGAAATCATCCTCTGAACACTGTTGGCGTTTTATAAATTAATATCGCATGAGGTTTATTACATTCCAGAAGGCACTGAACAATATTATTACTCACATTGGGCTATGGAAAGAGAGCAAACTCATTCAGGTCAAGCACGGTTGAGCAATCACTGGGTGAAAAAGTCATAGAAGTCTTGAGTGTTAGACTTCAATGTAACAAAGCCAGGTTCAAATCAGGTGGTCTTTTGTCCTACTTTACAGTGTTCTACTTTTGAAGGAGTCCTAAAAGGTAAAGGTAAAGGACCCCTGACAGTTAAGTTCAGTCGCGAACAACTCTGGGGTTGCGGCGCTCATCTCACTTTACTGGCCAAGGGAGCCGACGTTTGTCCTCAGACAGTTTTTCCAGGTCATGTGGTGAGCATGGCTAAGCTGCTTCTGAAGAAGAAGAAGTGTTTGGATTTGATATCCCATTTTATCACTACCCTAAGGAGTCTCAAAGCGGTTAACATTCTCCTTTCCCTTCCTCCCCCACAACAAACACTCTGTGAGGTGAGTGGGGCTGAGAGACTTCAGAGAAGTGTGACTAGCCCAAGGTCACCCAGCAGTTGCATGTGGAGGAGCGGAGACGCGAACCTGGTTCACCAGATTACGAGTCTACCGCTCTTAACCACTACACCACACTGGCTCTCAATGGTGAAACCAGAACAGTGCAGGGAAACGCCATTTACCTTCCCTATTTATCTACTTGCACTTTGACATGCTTTCAAACTGCTAGGTTGGCAGGAGCAGGGACTGATCAATGGGAGCTCACCCCTTCGTGGGGATTTGAACCGCCAACCTTCTGATTGGCAAGCCCTAGGCTCTGTGGTTTAGACCACAGCACCAGCCGCATAGGGATGTGCTCATCTGTCAATTTTGCTTTCTCACAGTTAAATTCTCTAGGTTTTTGCATCAGCTTGTGTTTGTGGCTTTTTAAAAAATCAAATACCAATCAAAATAATTCATCGGCATCTTAGTGTGAATTTTGCAATGTTACAAAGCAGTTTCCTCTAAAATAATGCATCTTTGTCTGATATTTTCACCAAGATATGCATCTTTACGCAAACTTTACTCTAGCACTTGCATTTTTGTATACGTCACTCAGCTGGAGAATGGCATTCTGGAGAATTGCAAGTTTTGAAGGCTATGTTTAATTAGGTTCGCACTTAAATGCAAACCAAATCACTCTCCTCCTTGCAGGCATGATTGAGGGGGGCAACAGGGTGCAGGCAGGGGATGTGGGTGTCTATTTGATCTGCTCATAATGGCTCTTGACATTTTCTGGATTTTTCCCATTTGGGAGGAGGGACTCAAGAAAATCCAGGACAGCTTTGGAGTATTCCCCCATCCACGCTGCAGACACTCACCCATTTCTAGACATTTTTCTGCTCCTTTCACACCTTTGCTATCAAAGGTTCATCATCATCTTTTTTAAAGTGATGCCTGGCAATTGACAGGACTCACACGCATTGGCATATAAAATTGGATCCATACAAAAAGGGATGATTCCCAAGGCCGCCACTATTATTTTCTTGAGGTTTCAAGTGGCCCCAGAGTAAGAGAGAGGTAAAGCTGGCCACTAGCCATGTCCCTCCCCTTTACCTCCTTTTGACTCATTGTGCCAAGTTCAAGGATGAATTTAGCCAAAGTGCCTTGTTAAAAGGTCAAGGGATGGAAAGGGGATCATGTTCTCGTAGGCAAAGTTACATCTCACAAAAAGACCTTTAACTTACACAGAGTCAAAATGCACACTCACCGGGGAGTGGGGGAGACTGAGCCAAAGCTTTTGGAATAAGAGCACAGGCTGGGAACAATTGGAATGAGAGCACCAGCATGCAGAGTGTACCTGGAACAATTGGGACAGCAGTAGGCAGAAAGCTTGCAAATCAGCCATCCTATCCAGAAGTGGAACGACTTTGAGTTCTGATCAAGACCACTCTGTCTTGCTGACTTCTTATACTTTTGAAAGGTAGACCCAGGGGACTTGACTAAAGCCTGGCTTTACAATGACTTTCTGAGTCCATTGGCTTCTCACACTACATGACTCTAGGCCAGAAAACCTGTGTTTACTGATGTGTTTCAGGCTAATTAGTATTGGTTTCCTTGAGCAGTTTGGCTGAAATTCTAACCTGGAATAAAGTATGCGTTCATGAGAAGCAAATTCAAATAAGACCCCCAGCTTGTAAATTCTCAAGATTAATGCAGTCTGTGCTTTCCTCCTGTTCCATTAAATGGAAAACATTACTAGGGACCTGATAAACTGTCTTAAAGTGTGCATAATTCATAATGAGAATAGTTGGTATATTCTTTCCACCTGTTGCATTAACCCGAAAACATTTCTCAGGTCATGTTAACACATCTTCTGTGCATAATTAATAAACATGTGTCTTGGGATGCCATGTGAGAGTGTGGCTCTGAAAAAACCATTTTTTGAGGGGGAGGGATCATGGCCTGAAATTGTGCGAGAGCACAGTGTCCAAAATGGCTACTGTTCATCAATTTGCTTAAAATCTGCATATGGTACAAGATATATATAAATGCAATTTTAGAAATGCCTCCTCTAATTGAAATTGAAACATAAAACATCTCATCATAGTGGGGAAGACTGTTGAGGTGACCTTTGTGTCTGTACAGCCTGCTAAATGTTGATAGGCAGCTTAAGGCCCCTCCCTGCTCTCCCTTCTTATGGCCCTTTGATCTTTAAACCCAACTAGGACTCCTTCAAAGGGACGCGGGTGGCGCTGTGGTCTAAACCACTGAGCCTCTTGGGCTTGCCGATCAGAAGGTCGGCAGTTGGAATCCCTGTGACAGGGTGAGCTTGGTCCCAGCTCGTGCCAACCTAGCAGTTCAAAAGTGCAAGTATATAAATAGGTACTGCTCCAGTGGGAAGGTAAACGGTGTTTCCATGCGCTGCTCTGGTTTGCCAGAAGCGGCTTAGTCATGCTGGCCACATGACCCGGAAGCTGTACACCGGCTCCCTCGGCCAGTAAAGCAAGATGAGCGTCGCAACTCCAGAGTCGTCCACGCCTGGACCTAACGGTCAGGGGTCCCTTTACCTTTACCTTTGAAGGGATGGTAGGGAAGGTAGAAGCAACATCATCCATGAGACTGGAAAGATGAAAGTTGTATCCTTTGTCTTACTCATCTACTAGACTCCTGACATGCTCTGCAGTGATAAGTCCCAACAGGAGCAAGAGGGATAGAAAGGCTAGAAGCCCTGCTCCAGGCCAGGGACAGGAAACCTTCAAAGCCTCTCCTTCGGAGCAATCCTTATACATTTGTTTCCAAGTAGGCTTGGGCTCATCTCTTTGATGCAATTAGGTGGTTCTGGAATCTAGACTTGATGGTCCTGCAGGTGCTTCCACTCAGTGGAGAGGAACTTCAGACCTAGTGGTCACATGTGGTTCTCCAGGCCTCTCTTTTTGGTCCTCAAGACTCTCAGGCCACTTTGCCTCACCTGCCACATCTGCCATTGACCCTACATTGCACCCTCCTTGGGTGTTTTTGCCTGGGTGGAATGTATCCTTGAACTCTGACCATGCCCCTTGTTTTTCAGGCTAGAGAGGGGTGCATGAGAGTGTTGTAGAAACTAGCTGGCTGTACAAAGACAAGATTTACATTCCTTTCCCCAATATGTTTTTGCTTCTGGCCCTGACCACCTGCATGTGCTTCCCCCTGGAAAGATTGCACAGAAGGGAATGTGATCCTCAGGCAGAAGGTTACCCAACTCTGCTGCATTTGAGGACCTTCCTGCTCAATCTGCTGAGAGGGGCTCTGGACTTCTCCTCCGAAATCCTGTCTGATGGTTCCACAGTTTGGAGGCTACATTTTATGAATCCTAGAAGCTCATTTGCAGGCTAGGCTAAAACAGACTTCCACAACATCGTTGATTTTTGGTGTTGGGTTCAGGAACCCAAGGAAGAACATATACACAATTGTAGTTGCTCTCTCTTTCCCTTGCTTGTCTTCCTCCTTTCACCTCACCCACATCCCTCCTGTGTGGAAAACTGTGTCTGAACCAAAGAAAGGAAGCCAGAAACCACACTACAATTTCCAAGGGGCAATGTACATGTGCAGAAGCATCCAGTGCACGTATTCTAGATTCACCTTGCATCTGTAGCCATGGAGTTTAGAAGCAACCTGGTTAGATTTGCATTCACTCTGTGTCTTTCCGATTCAATTTGTTATTCTGGTCCTAATCTACCTGTTAAGTCTGAAGCTCTGTTTCATTCCCAGTGCCTATAAAGGCTATACTTTTTCTTCTTCTTTACATAAGTGGATGAAATTTGCAGGCAAAGGGGCCCTTCTAGAGTTCATTAAGTCAAAATTTTGAAAGATGGGTGTGACACTTCTACAAGGCCTGACTTCACCATTTTGGGGTGGGAAAATAGAAATCATGCTGCCACCCCAATTTTTGGAGGACAATCAGTCTTAAAACTTGGAGCATGAGGGAAGTATAAGAAACTTACCAAAGTTCAGGCAAATAGGTCCAGGGGTGATTGTGCTAGGTGATTTTTGCCTTCACAATTTAAAGAAACCTGGAATAGTCCATGATTTTCCAGGGTTTCAAAGAGGACACCTTTCCCAGCCTTACCTGAAGATGCCAGGGAGTGAACCTGAGACCTTCTGCATGCAAATCAGATACTCTGCCACCGAGCTATTGGCCTTCCCCCTCCAAATTATCTGAGAAACCTTTGAAAGACCAAATTACAAATTGAGAATGGGGAGATCTCGCCCATCGCTAAAGGAGACATATGCAGCTTATGTTTAAGGTTCTTTGTCACAATTTTATCACTGCTGCATAACACACTTTCAGGCATCAACAAAAGAATAAAGATGCTCGCACAACCCAACTGATAGTGATAATGAAGCTTTGATATGCTGATCCCCCATCGTCTGCTTTCAATGGGTGAACTCATTCAAAGAAAGCTTGAATCAAAGGCAAATAGTGGGTAGCCGTACAGAGGCAGCATCTGATTAGAAAGATCACCTAACACATTTTGCTTTCCTTTTTGTGTGTATGCTAACTGTGTCAGATGCTGCCGTGTAGGTGCTGGTTTGAAAATGTTCCAACGACACCCCTATTTTGCAGTATATTTTACCATTCAAAGCAAAAAAAGACTCTCTTTCCCCCTTTTGAAGGTCTGTAAAATAAAGAACATTAAAAAATGATTACTTACTGCAAACCTCAAGGAGCAGTTTTCTACTCTTGTTTTCCACTCATATTTTAAGATGGAAGTCTATTTACAGCACAATTTAATGTTTGGTTTTAATAGATGAAGCATTTATAGACAAAAGGCTGCATTAGTCCAACAATGGTTTTTTAAAAGAGCTTCCCAATCAAAAGAGGAGCTGGAGAACTTGGAGCTGGGGTGGGAAGCCTCCAGAAGCCGTTGTACTACTTTTCCCATCATTCCTGAACATTGGCCATGTTAGCTGGGACAGTTGGGAGTTGGAGTCCAACCACACTTGGAGAAAACATGTTTCCCATCCCTGACCTGCTTCTTGAAACTGCTCTACCTGAAATACTACCTGTCTACATGTGTCTTAATATCTTCTCCAGGGGCCCTTCTCTGAGAGCCTCTCCCATTTGAGGTGAATGGCTTATATGAGAGGGAGGTCTTCTCTGTGGTGGCACCTCCGCTACAAAATGCTCTCCCCAGAGAAATTTACCTGGGGCCTACTTTGTTACCTTTTTGGCAGCAGGCAAATACCATTTTATTTTCCTCAAATCCTTGATGAATTTGGTTTTATGCTGCTTTCGTATGTTGTTTACCACACTGTTTATCATTGCATGCTGCATATTAATAATTTTGATATTATTGCATTGTATGGATTATGTTTTGCTTTTATGTGTTGTAAAAGAAACTGTCCTGGATAAGTCTTTCTGAAGGGCATAATAGAAGTTGTTTAAATATAATAAGTAAGCAACCCTATGTGCAAGACTATACTCAGAAGTAAGTCCCATTGTAAGTACAATTTGAACATTGTATTTGGTTGCTTTTTATGGCTGCTACTGTATCTCCGCTTTTATAATTGTTTCATGTTGCTTTTATATTGTAAGTTGGGGCTGCAGGTTGAGGCTGTGATGTTATCTTGTTTTTCTATTTGCTAGTATAATTGCTAAAGAGTGACAGCAACCGGGTGCCTAGAAAATACAGAAAACAAATAAATTACATGGGACTGTTACTGCTAACTTGTTTTTTTCTCTGGTTTCATATTTATGATCTGGAGATTATGGGTAAGATCTCATGAAGTCATATTCAAGTAGACCCACTGAAATTAATGAATGTATGTTTCTTGAGTCTATTCCTTTCAGCAAGTGTAATCTGGGTATGATGAACATTGGATATCACCCATATTTTGGATTGTTTTTGTTTGATTCCTTTGGAAGGTTTGCTTTTTAAATTGATAATTGCTTGTTTTGCTAGACTTAACACACTACTTGAATACCCACCACCACCCCTTGCAAATTGTCCTGTAACTGAAAAATTCCAAGGAGATGGCTAATTTCAGCATCTCAAACTCAGTCGAAGCTTATTACGAGTTAAGAAACTGGTCAGAACTCTCTTGCTAACCCAGGTGATGTTATGTTTTATTCTCAGCTTCAACCTGTCCCTCCCAAAGGGTTAAAACTGGGTGGCACTCAGGGGCTTATAACAAAAGTAACTATTAGTGTAAAACAATCTGATACATTCAACATAGCAGGGCCCTTCTCCTTCTCTCTAATCTTTCAGCAAGGCTCGAGGGAGGCTAAAGTTTAGATCAGCCTATTCTCTCTAGAACTTTGATTCACTATTAAATTCCGTCTAATGAAGATGACTTTGCCATCTCACGTTCATCAGCAGGCTATGCATGGAACAATGGCAGGATCTGCCTTGCATAGAGGGATATTGTTCCTTTCCTTAGCTTGCCGCAGCTGAGAGGAATCACGTGAAAATTGACATGCACAGGAGACTTGTGAAACCAGTTAGTGGTAACTGTTATTCTCAGGGGTAGGTAGTACCATTGCCTCTTAGGTCATGTTTACACAATAACAATGTGAAGAGACTGATTAACGCATTGTCCTGAATTTACTGCTGGTAAGACTCTCCTTACCCCCCTTTAGACTTTGTTTAGTTGTTATTATATTAATGTATGAGGGCCTTTGTCTTGTGCCCCCTCCACAGGAGGTCTGGATGGTGGCAACATGAGAGCGGGCCTTTTCAGTGGTAGCTCCCTACTTGTGGAATGCTCTCCCTGAGGAGACCCAACTGGTACCATCATTACAAATCTTCAGGTGCCAGGCAAAAGCATGCTTTTTTTAGCCAAGCCTTTGGCTTTTAACTATATACAGTATGGCCTTTTTTGCATGGGTAGAATGTTTTAATGTAGGTGTCCCGCTCTGGTTTTAATGTATGTATTATGTGTTATGTTTTTTGCTTAAAATACTGTAAGTCACTTTGAGTTGCTGGGGTAAAAGAAGTGACTAATACATTTAATTAATTGTATTTATACAATTTCCACCAAGAAGTTCACAAGGTGGTTCTTCATTTTATCCTGTGAGGTAGGTTAGGCTGAGGGGCAGTGACTGGGCCAAGGTCACCCAGTGAGCTTGTGGCTGAGTCGGGACTTAAACCCTGATCTTGCATGTCCTAGTCCAGCACTCTAATTACCACACCACAATGACCCCACGTATGAGGTCTATTTATGGCAAGGATGGGGAACTTGTGATCTTCCAGATGTTGTTTCATTACAGCCCCATGTCCATTGGCCGTGTTGGTTGGGGCTGATGGGAGTTAGAGTCATTGCTATAACATGGTCACATGGCTTTCGTGCAGACAGCCCTTCGTTTGAAAGTGTCTCTTATTTGAAGGGCTGCCTAGCCCAAGCGTGGTTTTAAGACAAAGAATCCTTACAATGGAGAACAGGAAGACCCTATAAGTTGCAGCATCTGAACAGCAGATGGAAGAGGCACACAGCTCACCTGGACACAGTCTTGTTTGCTCCCTATGGCGGGATGTAATTATTTCAAAAGTTGCACCTGTGCAAATAAACAAATATTTGAAAATTTGTGTCTTTATGGTTGGAGGCAGTCATGCTTCTGAATAAGGTAAAAGAAAGGAAAAGGTAAAGAACCCCAAGACGGTTAAGTCCAGTTGAATTCGACTATGGCGTGCGGCTCTCATCTCCGCTTTCAGGCTGAGGGAGCCAGCATTTGTCTGCAGACAGCTTTCCGGGTCATGTGGCTAGCATGACTGAACTGCTTCTGGCGCAACGGACACCGGGATGGAAGCCAGAGCACACAGAAATGCTGTTTATATTCCTGCCACAGTGGTACCTATTTATCTACTTGCTCTGGTACGCTTTCAAACTGCTAGGTTGGCAGGAGCTGGGACAAAGTGGCAGGAGTTCACCCCATTGCTCAGATTCAAACTGCTAACCTTACAATCAGCAAGCTCAAGAGGCTCGGTGGTTTAGACCACAACGCCACCCACGTCCTGTGTCCGTCCAGTTGCTGGAAGTCACAGGAGGGGAAAGTGCTCTTGTGCTTTCAGTTTTGCTTGCTGGTCTCCCACAGATATCTTGACTGGCCACTGTGAGATCACAGGATGCTGGACGAGATGAACCATTGGCCTGATCCAGCAAACTCTTCTTATGGTCTTATGGGTGATGCGTGTTCTTTGACCTGGCAGTGCATAACTGGCTAACCCACAATGTCAGCCTATATTTCCCCCTGTTTAATCCAATTTTATGTTTTCTGGGTGGGGGGGGGGGGAATCCATTTGCAAGATCTCAATGACCCATTTACAGCATAAATACCCACAACTGGAAGCACCCCCAGTTAAAGCAGCTCCAAAACCATTCTGCCTCATGTTGCCTGTTTCTTGAAACAGCCCTTTCATAAGCAGATTTCCCTCTACGCTACAGCAAGAAGAACAAAAGGTTTACAGTATCTAGATGTCCCCTTGTGTTTGTTTTTGGTGCTCTTTTATTCCATCGGTGGCCACCACTGTTGCTCATAATGCATAATCAATCAAATTTTCTTTGTTTTCATGGTTAATATACATTTAAAGTACAGAAATGGCCAGTCTCTAATTTAATGCCCTCAGCAAAGAGGACGGTAGGATCTGATTGTGGCAAAGAATGTCTTTGCCGATATTCGAGTGAAAGGAAACAAATTGCTCCATGCTTATCTTTGAAAGAAGATCCTATGGCAGACCAACTTGCCCCGCATGTTAATGACCAAGCAAGAAAACACTGAAGAGAAAAGCCAGCAATGTGGCTCTCCACATCTTTTCTTTGATAGCTATGAAAAATGTAACTTCAGGGACATTGTGCGGACAGAGAGTGTTGAACACACCAATTTAATAGGATGAAACTTATTTTATTTGTTAAAATAATACACACACAGGAAGATGAGAACCACTCCAGTTGAACATAGCCATTTGGGTGTAACCAGTAGGAATTGCCCAACAGACTGAAGAGAGCAGAGCGGTCTTCCCTAACCTGGCGCTCTCCAGATGTCATACCCTCCAAGTGTCCTGATTCTCCAGGGGACGGACCTGGAAGTACGAAAGCCATCTCAGCTTCTTGTTGTTAGGATATTCCGTTCCACCTTAAGAGGAACAGGCATGATTGTTGTATGTCACATGTCTGTTTACACTCCAGCACAGCTTGCTGGGAACA